CTGTGTGGGGCTGCCGACTCCCAGATGTGCAGACGGGGAGCTGGCAGTCGTGGGGGCTTCAGCAGCCTTCCACTCATGGTGGGCCGTGAGCAGGAGGTCTGCTCCCCAGTAACAGTTAATGTTACCTCCTCAGGGCATAAAAAATAAGCTAGTTAAAAATAGCCTGAAGGGTGAGTGAGCGGGCACTTGGCTTACAAAAAATGTACATGTTTGATTATATCCCTCTTCCCTTCCCCCTTCAAATGTTAATTAAGTATGGCCTACACTAGAAAATTAGGTCAGTTTAACTGCCTCAGCCAGGCACATGAAAAACCCACACCCCTGGGCAGCATAATTAAGTCAACCCAAGTCCCTGTGTAGGCAGTTCTAGGTTGGCAGATGAGTTCTACCATCAAACTAACTACCAGATCTCAGAGAGGTGGCTTACTTACACTGATGGGAGAATCCCTACTATCAACATAGGTAGCATGTACATCAGGGCTACTCAAAATGTGGCCTGCGGCCTGCGTGTTTGCAGCCCGTGGTGTGGTTTGCATTTACACAGGGCTTATCACGCACCCCATGGGTGGGATGCTTTGAACATGGCCTCCACTGGGAACATGCTCCACATCGGAGCACAAAGACGCAAGTGGACTGGCTGGCTGGAACAGACAGGTACAGGGTGTCAGCATTTCTAGCCCCCAGGGAGGAGGTGCTGGGAGTGCCAGGGCATTGTGGGAAATGCTGGCTGCTTAGCCTTGTGGGCAGAGCCTGAGAGGTACTGACTGGCTCACACTCCCCACGTTTGGTTCCGGCTCCACAGCTTAAGGCTTAATCTTTTATTCATACCTGTCAGTATGAGAGAAGCTATTTGCATATGTATGTGTGTATATATGCAACCACACTTCAGCTGCAGCCCTCGGCATGTGCTCTATCATTGTGGCCCCGGGGCTTCCAAAGTTGAGTAGCCCTGATGTACATGGAATGGTGCAGCTGAGCCTCTGTAGTATTTGAAACTCTTCTAAACATGGACTGTGCCCTTCATATGGATTTGTACCATGTCCACTAGAGGCTTGTCTTCTCAGACACACTTAGGCACATGGATTAAACAAACTGCAATGTAGACACTTTTGTTCATAATTAAAATGCCTTTCATTAAACTAAGTGAAGACTATTTGAATTCCGAATGACAGTGTCCACAGAAGGGCTTAATGCAATTTAACTAAACCACTTTAATTTTACACCATTAGTTTATTTGCATTAATTTTCTTGATTTCCCCCGTGCAGACAAGCCCTAGCTAACAATGGGCCCCCAATCCACACTGGAATTTCTATATATTTTATTGTAACAGAACTATTACATAATTTAAGGAAACTCCAGTGAGTACTTCATTTTACAGTGTAATCATTTCTCTTCTAGAAATAAACACATTTTTATGGTACATTAGTTACCCAAATAAACAGATGAATACTGTTGAACACAGAAAATGTTTTGATTAAGACACCAATTAATCCCTATCCAAAGTAAAATAGTGACAGAGATGCAGCCGTGTTAGTCTGGTGTAGCTGAAACAAAAGACAGGACTATGTAGCACTTTAAAGACTAACAAGATGGTTTATTAGGTGATGAGCTTTTGTGGGGCAGACCCACTTGATCTGAGGAAGTGGGTCTGGTCCACGAAAGCTCATCACCTAATAAACCATCTTGTTAGTCTTTAAAGTGCTACATAGCTCTGTCTTTTATCCAAAGCAAAGATTATGATGCACCTTTACAGTTGTGTATGCATCAAATGTTATCAAAAAGTGGGTTATAAAAGCAAATAATAAAACAGATATCCAGGAGGAGTGAATACTATACTAGAAACATTAAAAACATTTCCTTAACGTACACAAGATTTAGCTACCACCAAAGCCCATCACTTGCAGAAACAAGATACAACTGTAGAATTCTAAGTGGCTGGTTTTAGAACACAGATGGAAGAGAAGTGCCAATTAATCTCTGTGTAAACCCATTTAGTAGGTTGCTGCTTAAACAGAGACTCAGATTACTTCTAATAACTTAATGGCTCCAGAAATCTAAAATGACTTCAACTTGTTTTATTAAACCATTTTCAAATGCCATCAACAACAAACAATTGTCACACAAACATCACTCAAGACAAAACACCAGGGAAAACAAATGTAAAACGGTTGGCACATTTGGCATAACACTGCCAACATGACGTAACATGTCAAGTAATAATCCTACAAAAGTTCATCCCACACAGAACCAAACTAAAGTGGTGGAGAGAGGGAAGGAAAAAGAGAGAGGTACAGAAATGGGAAGTTAGTACTAGCCAATGAGTATCTGGTTAGATATGAGAAACAACACATTCATACTTTAAAAGTATTATATTTCTGAATACACTCAATTCGCATACTCACATCTTGTAAAACAGAAACACTGTCAAAAAGTATCCAAACAAATGTAACAAAACATTAACTCTAGAAGTCTAAACACTTTTCAGCATCACCTTCCAACTTGTAACAGCAGTATAAAGTCATATCCAGACTGCAATCTTCTCTTAAGGAACAAAATCCGGGTATCAATTAGATAAATATCATTGGAGACAATGAAACATTGGGAATTTAAAGAAAATACAACTCTTACTCTATGTTAAAACAAGAATTGCATATGGAGGGGCTTTGTTCAAACTGTAGCCCTAGGTCTTTTTCCCAGATTAATTTTGCCTAGGTTGGACAAGGCTGTTTATTAAGAATGGATGACTGCTCTCTAAGATATCAAAGGACATAGTTTTCACCTAGCAAACCAAAGAAAAGGAATCAAGACTGCTGACCTATTGCATTATGCATATTTATAATGGGTGTCTGACTATCTGATCAGTCAAACTAAACAAATCCAAGGTAAGCATGCATTTTGAGCGTGTGTGCGGTCAGCTCATCTCAAAAAAGATATATTAGAATTAGCAAAAATAGGGGTATGGAACAGCTTCCATGTGAGGAGAGATTAAAAAAGACTGAAACTGCTCAGCTTAGAGAAGAGATGACTAAGGATGAAAGGGGAAAATAGGAAAATATAACGATGAATGGTGTGGAGAAAGTGAACAGGGAAGTGTTGAACACTACTTCCCAAGAACCATAGGTTCCCTAACAAAATTAACAGGCAGCAGGTTTAAAACAAAAAGAAGTAATTCTTCATGCACTACACAGTCAACCTTTGCAACTCGTTACCAGAAGATGGTGTAAAAGAATAACTGGGTTCAAAAAAAGAATTAGATAAATTCATGGAGTCATACATTCAAAGGCTTTTAGCCATGATGGTCAGGGATGCAGCAACCCCATGCTCCGGGTGCCCCTAAGCCGCCAACTGCTTATGTTCTAAACTTTAAAAATTGAATGTAGGAAAGCAGGCATCTGTGGGAAGGCCAGTATTTCTGACAGCCACAAAAACACAAGGCACAGCCTCCCTGCACTGCTCTCACAGAATGAGACAGGTGCAGCAAAGCAGGCATGTCTGATCTCAGACAATGATTATAAGCAGCTGCATATTTTCATGTAATTTATTTCTAATATGTCCTAACATGTATTTAGATAGCTCTCAAGCAGAGTAATCACATTTGTCATTCTGCATTTTCTATATTGTATGACTTATAAATCATGCAGTGTTTCCTTTTTAAGTATCTGTAAATAAAAACATTATTCTAAGCTCTTCTCAATTTTGACCTATCCACAGTAAGAGGAAGCTTGGCATCTATTCACTTGGAGATACTGGGTGTGTAGAATCTGCCAAGATTCTGCACCCATGGTACTGCTGGTTTCCCTGGAATAGCAAAGTGTGAGCAAAGGTGTAAAATTTGAAAAATGTATGAACTTAGCAAATCATAGAACCATAGAGCTGGAAGAGACCTCAGAAAGTCATCAAGTCCAGCCCCCTGCTCTAGGCAGGACCAATCCCAACTAAATCAACCGGGCCAGGGCTTTGTCAAGCCAAGACTTAAACCCCTCTAGGGATGGAGACTCCACTACTTCCCTAGGTAATCCATTCCAGTGCTTCACTACCCTCCTACCTAGTGAAATAGTTTTTCCTAATATCCAACCTGGACCTCTCCCACCACAACTTGAGACCATTGCTCCTTGTTCTGCCATCTGTCCCTACTGAGAACAGCCTCTCTCCATCCTCTTTGGAACCTCCCTACAGGAAGTTGAAGGCTTCTATCAAATCCCCCCTCACTCTTTGCTTCTGCAGACTAAACAGACCCAACTCCCTCAGCCTCTCCTCATAAGTCATATGCTCCAGCCCCCTAATCATTTTGGTTGCCCTCCGCTGGACCCTCTCCAATGCGTCCATATCCTTTT